GAGAACGGATATGATTAAACAACACAGAACAAAATTTAGTGAGTTAATTGAAAGCAAAAGAAATAGGTGATTTGATTAAATCAGACTAATTCATGGAGCCACGGACACACCACAAAGAATAATCGATAGCCAAAAAAGGAAGTAAGTTTGGCAACTTTCAATTTAGAAAAGCAACCAAATTGGGATTAAAACCAACATATACAAACCAAAAAAAATCATATCAATCCATGCGGACACGGGCTTAAATTTTGTATATTTATAAACTTAGATATGCAAAGCATCAAAGAGCTAAAAATACATCTACAATGCTGTCCTCGCCACCTACTGAATAAGAGAACTTGCATCAAATTACTTGTCAGAAAGATAAACTCAATTCTCAGGAATAAATTCAAAATTACAACAGCAAAAATATTCAAGTTTCGACAACTGCAGCTCTACTAGATAGCTTAAGAAATCAAATGGGTTCAGTATAAAATTACAACCAACACACTTGGCTCAGCAACTTGCTTTATCGAACTTTCGAAGAGACACTTCATCACTGCTATAACACTGGGAAAACAGCATGAAATACCTGTACGTCTTTCAAATAGAAGGATGTAAGCTGTAACGACAACTGCTCTCTAGGCATACCTACTGCTAATTGAAGTTGCCAGAAGGACATGGATCAAAGCGGTAACGAGCAACACATTGGCAGTAACTACACAGAGAATTTTACTCCTTCGTCATCTGAAGAAGACCCCTTGAAAATTGCTGCTTTACCCTTCTGTTCCAGTAGTCTTAGTGCTCGCATCAGCACACCACGATCAATCCCAGCAAGCTCTGGAAGAACGCAAAAATGCCACAATAAAAATATAGGAATGGTTATTTTCTTGGTGAAATCATGTGCAAATACAATTCTAAATATCTGGTATTCCGCTATGGTCTGCAAACAATTGTAAAGTACGGACCTAATGACTTATTATATGTAACCAATTTTTCATGGATCATCAGTTGATCTAACAAAACTTATGATAACCAAATTAAACCAAATTCTAAAGTTACTTCACCCAATTGTAAGATCATGCAACTGCAAATAAAACTTCAATATACTTGGTATCCTGCAATTTCTCTAATACCAAGGACAGGCGTCATTTCAGCAATATGATGACGATCATATAAGTATGCACATTATAAGGTACAGATTTCACATTACGAAAAATACACTTATAGCTGAGAAAATCATAACCTTCTGCCTCCTGGAGATCATAACTGTAGTTTAGTAACTGAAATAAAATTCAACCAATCTAATGGCCCAAACTTGCTCCAGCTGAAACTCCTAGCATGGGATTGGGTTATGAAAAACACCCACGTTAAAGATCAAGCTACCAACAACAACAACAACAACAAAAACCTCTTGAACAGAAATATGTTTTATAATTATGAAGCCTACGCAATCAGGACGTTTATGGCAACGAGAAAGGGGATGAAAGGGTTGGATCTGACGGTATACATATAACCAAACCAAACATTTGAAGCCCAATGGTTCAAAAAAGTTGAATGGTGCCTGGTGATTATACCAAATAACATAAATAGAAATAGAAATAACAAGACAATGTGAACTTAATGTGTCTCATTACATAAGTTTTTCCCCTTTAATGGTAAATAAGGCCACTAAATGCAAGGATACATATTATCCAATTCATATCTGAGAAAAAGAAAAGATGAGAAAAACTCCTGAGAGAGAATGCACACCAACTTTAGACGGCTTTTGTAACGTTAAGGATGTAAATGAGGCACAAAGTATAACAACCAAAAAAACATGTCAACAATAATAAACCCATTTAAGAAAATACTTGGGGACCGCAAAATAAATATCCTTTTTTTCATTTCCATTCAGTTCTACTACACAAGTCCAAACTGTCAATATTTTGCGAAACTGCTTCATTAGCTTAGAAAATAATTCCTATTTACGTATTCTATACCTGAATGCATAGCTGCAAATGTGTTGTTTAATTGGAAAGGCTACATAGATAGAATTGTGACATCCATTTCTCGAGTACCTGATTCTAAAATGTGTTCATTCACAAATATTTTCCGGTTAATGTCGTTGAGATCCAAATGGGGTATTAAATGTGAGTTGCAAATATTCGGATGCAGTTCCAATGCTATCCTTCAAAAACGATAACTAGCTTTAGATTGTGATTATATTGAGATGGAGTCTAACTGAAAACGCTAACCAACTAGGTGCACTCAATGGGTAACTAGGATCATTTTGCCTGGTGCTCAAATTGACAAACTGAGTAATTGCAAATTCAAAGGTCAACTTTAGATGATTAATTAAGCTGAGGTTACCAGTTCCACGAGATTCAAATCCTGAGCGTATATCTTCAACAGTCACAACACTGTCTTCCAATCCATTGTCTTTAACCTAATCAAATGCGTGAAAAATGTTGAAGAAGCTGACACAGACTATTCACATTCACTTATGAACTAATATGTATAGTACTTACAAATTTAATGATGTGGTCAGCCCAATCCTGAATTCTCAGCCAGAGAATAAGACATTTTTTATGACTTTTATCCATCCATTCTGCTCGACCTGAAGACAAAATGTCAAGAATGCTATTACTTTCATCACAATTGAATTTATATTTAAAATTCAGCTTCACATGCAACAGTTTACAAATATATTCAAGCATAAAATCAAAACAAACCTTCACTAACCAAAGCGGAAAGAAATACACCCCTTGCTTCATGATTGAGAGATCCTGAAAGTTCAATTTTAAATTTTAAGCAAAACCAGAAGGAAAAGTAGGATACTGCAAAAACACTAGCATATATAGTCCAAGCTATTTTCCATCAAAATTAGGAATGTTAGGGTGCATATATTAATTTAAGAAGGCTCAAGCAGAATTGAGCAAATTTGTATGACAAAGCACCAAAGTAACTCAACCTTAAATGAATTTGAATGGCCAATGCAGCCCTGTGGAACAAATAAGTGCGCTTTGAAACAGACAAATTAATATATATAAGGAGTAAGGAACGCTATATATCTGTCAGTCTAACTCAATGCAACTAAGGAGAATTACAAATTCTAAAGTTACCAAGATCTAGAAAAGCAAGATTTCATAAAAATTTTATGAGTTACTAGATGAAGTACAATGCAGAAACTATTGAGTATAGATGCCTAAGCTATCAAATACAGAACCCTCCAAAGCTTCTGGATATTTTTCACCATAATATCCAAAACATCGTACATCACTGCCATACAGTATGATCAATTTTAAAAATTAAGGAACAAATTGGATGTGTTCATGTAATCATAATAATCATTCATGAGGTACCACTTACGTTCAATTACTGGATTGGAGAACAAAGGGAACTCTTCTTCCAGTCCGATGATAAATATCTTTTGACTTCTACAGTAATCAAGTATTAATTCCTTCCACAGTTGCACTTGCTTCTCACGTGTTTCTCTTACTGGCTGTAAACTGGAATAAGAATAGAATAGTACAAGTTAGAAAGTATAAGAATCACGTGCACTTCTAAAAGAGGGTTAACTGCTGCTAGACCCCTAGTAACATTGCCCAAATGCTGATGGAACCCCTCTAGTTCTACTTGTGCGGATAGAATCCTGAGTGAATTTGTTTTGACTCATACTAAGTCAAAACAAATTGTAGAGGCAGATAGAACCAAAACAGTTCTAATGGTGCAAATAGGCCACCAATTGCTATTTTTTTCAAACTTGTAAGTCAAAAACAAGTTCACTAAGGGGATATATCCGCATTTGGACAATAGTATAGGGAGGTCTTTCCGCACAATTAAAAATTTAAAACTACAGGGGCTCTGTCCACAACTGGAGAATACCACAGGAGTATGTGCGCAATTAGCCCAAAAAGAAAAACTAGCTTAAAAATGCATGCATTAGAGGTTTGCATATTGGTAGGTGCCTATAGTATTGGATTGGATTGGGACAATGTTGATCTAATAACAACACCCACGAAACCAGTCTCAGTTAAGAAAAGTATTCAAGAAATTTGTTTGACGCAGTCAGTATTAGTAAAATACTAGTGGATAGACTCAATACCAGCGGACACTGCTGGTAAAGAATACTACAAAAGGAGATACGATGTTCAAAATAAACCAAAGAAAGCACCTGAATGAGCTTAATTTGCATAAAGACCAATAGCCCTTCACCCACAACAAGTTCCCACATAAGAAGGTATTGATTTTAATTTGCTAAATAAAATCAATCAGAGGTACTTGTGTAAATAAAATTGCAAGCAAACAGTAATATTGCAACTTATAGCCAAAATCATCATGATTTGTAGCATAAGCGCACAACTGTAAAAATGAGAAGTTTCATTAGTCCAAAGTACAACATTCGTCTTACCAACAAATTATCATTCAACTAAAATACATACAGGATATAAAGCATTGACAAATTTAAATGAATATAAACTTAATGCAAAGAGATAGAAACTATTACGTGAAGTAGGGTGGATAGTTAAAGAAATGAGGCAGCCTAAAATCTCCCAATCTCTGCATCTGAATATTCCTTTCCTTTCAAGCACAGATTTTCCGCCACTCCTCTGCAGTGACATTTCAAGTGTAAATTTCTGGCAGGGTTGAATACTTTTAGGTATACATACAATTAAGCATACATGCATAAGCAACACTCTTAAAAAGATTTCAGTAGACTTGGAAATTTTAAGCAATCTACTTCGCACATTATGTACATACCAAATCCAAAATCTCTTTCTGCAGCACAAATTATGATAAAACCACGCAAAAATAGATAGAAAAAAAACTAAGCTTCCGGAAAAACTGAAGGCTGAGAAACGTAGAAAGGGAAATTTTGAAATTTAAATGCAATCTACAAAAGAACCCCTTCAAGAAATGCTAAAAGCATTCAAGGAGTTGAGGCCCTTCATCAAACATCGACTAGCTTAGGAAAAGGGATCAACTGTTGCTAAGCTAAATCATCCTAGAGATTTTAGTAAAACAAAGATGAAAATCCCTAGAAACCTAGCAGGTATTTTTGAAATTTTGAACTAATGGTTCAGATCAGAATAAATACAACAAAAATATTGAGAGAAAGGAATCAATCAGATAAATAAGTCCATAATAATCACAATATCACTATGAATTGAAAAAATAATCACAGTATCTCTATGAACGGAAGACTTAATAACATCTAGGCTTTTCGTTAGGGAGATTGACCCAATCGCTGGCTAGGGTTTTGATTTTTGTGAGGTCGCTCCACTGATCGCAAAGCTGAGTATGGGAAGAAGAAGGTCTTGATCGAGAGTAAGTCGGGTCTGATCCAATAAGATTTGACCCATTTATAAATCAGTAGGATGTGCCCCGGGTCTAAACTAGGGGTGCACAAAAATATCTGTATCTAAAAAGATATCTGATCCGTTAGGGTATGGTTATGCTCACTGAAATCTACACAACCAATAGTATTAGTTATAGATATGACCATGTAGTGAAATATCTGGGTCTGCATCTGAAATATTTGAATACATATTGGTTATACTATTACAATAGCTAAAATCCTTAGTCTAATGGATTCGAGGTTAAGTTTGATGATCAAGATATCTAATTTTAGCTTTTCAGATATAACATACACGCTAAGAAATTATCTTGTATCATATGAACTATAATTTTTTAATATTCTCTAGATTTCTCATCTCCGTTTTTGTATCCGCATGTATGTCCACATGCATATCCGGTTATATATCCGCATGCATATCAGTATCTGTATCCGATGCTAGCGGATATGGATATAAATTTTCCTTAACAAGGCATATATCTATTCGTGATTGGTAAGTAGATATGGACATGGTAAATATCATATTTGAGGCATATCTGGACCGTATGTCTAAACCCACTCCATTGGAATGATTTGTATTTTTAGATATATACACCCCCCCCAAAAAAAAAAAATGCATCTTGTAGTTTTGAAACTGCCCAAATTTTCTACAACTATTAGAAATCAACTCACATATTATTAGGAGTTTAGATATTTGACTAGAAGGAAAAAAATTTATTTTATTCATGTAATTTATTATTATATTCTAAATATTCAATAGTTTATATTCGTGTGATGCATGTGACTCGTAAGAACAATTGCAAATGTAATGATTAATGCAGAAAAATTGAAAGGTTATATGATAAGTATAAAAACTAAGAAAATTTATCATTTTTAAATGGATGACTACTGTCAGAAAACTATGTAGCAACATTATCTTTGCAAAATAATCTTCGAATCCAACATTGACAATGGATGCATCCGAAGATTTTCGAGCAAATTATTGAAGTGTAGAAAGCACAAGCATAATAGCATATGCTGTAGAGACTTGATTCCGACGCTAATGATCATTGTAGAGTGGATTAAAACATCTCCCAACTCTGATTAAAGTTTGTGAGACATGTAATAAGTCAAAACGACCTTAATGCTAGAGGTTTTAAGGAGTTCTAAAGATCGGAATCACAATTTATCTACCTTACTAGTGGGGTTTTCTATTTTTCCAAATATTTGTCGAACAATTTATGTTATTTTTTATGACCATCTAATTCATATAAAATATTAATACGCCAAGCTATGATTTGGATCACTTCACCATAAAAAAATTGTGGTGAGACCACTGATTTTGTGGGTATTTTAGATATTAGTCCCTTAACTTATAGGTATTTTGATATTAGCCCCTCAAATCTTCATCTTTTGATATTAGTCACTCAAATCTTCATCTTTTGATAATAGTCCCTCAAATCTTCATCTCCGGCTAGTCTCTGGACTTTTCACGGTCGACCGTGATGGGTTCTGCGATCAGGGCCGGCCCCGAGCTTCGGGTTGCCCTAGCCCAATTCAATTTTGGTTGCCCCTTATATTAAAAATTTGGTACGAACAATAACGATAAAAATGAATACATATAATACAATTTAACGTTCTATATTGGGCTCAAACTGATAATACTAATGCAAAATCAATATTCATATAAGAAGAGATTACATTTGTGCTACAATTCCCATCAAAGAAAAATACTTCTCCTTGAATTTTTTGAAGCGAATTCTTCAATTAAGTCATCATACTCAAGTAGTGATTTTGCCATTTCATCTTGACGTTGCTTGACTCTTCTATTATGAGCTCCAGAGTTTTGTTTTCTAATCCTTACTCGGTTTTTGTCATCTCCCGTCATAGTGTACTGTAGTCTGTAAATATAATTATATAACATATTACATATATGAAATCACAATCAACTAAACTTAGAAATATCAACGAATGATAAATATATCATTGTTCATAACCCCCTTCACTCATATGAAAACAGTATGAAAGACAAAAAAGGTGGGGAGAGAGAATAGAGACTTGCATAAGTCTTCAACTGCAAATTAAATTATCAAGCTTTGATGGTAAAATACAAAAGGGAAGAAGGAAAGTTATAAGCAAAGTGCCCATAGCCGTTGGTTGTTTGACTGTTAGGATGAAATATATTAGCACAAAACAGTGGAATGAGAAACATGTGATTTTTAATTTACTATTCTAGCTTATTTTGGGCGAACCAGACAAAGAACAGAAAATCTATAGAAAACCCTATAAACGCCTATTCCACATGCAGCATAACTACATTTGTAGCCAATCATCTCATGTTCCTTCATAGAATTTGTCAATTTCTTTAAGAAAAGCATCACCCATAAAATTGACAGGTTTAAAATTGAAAATTTTCAAGGGTTACTTGCGGACAGACCCCTTATCTTCCCAATTGCCCGATTAGCAATATCATTATTATTAAAGCAAACCCTAATTTCATTCCAAAACATCATAACCCCTTATTTAATTCTTCAACAACTAAGATTCAATCTCAAAAATCTTAATTTCATTACAAAACATCAAAACCCTAAATTTCTCTCCAAAAAACCCTAAAATTATTTAGTTAAAAAATTTTACCTGATGGGGTGAAGCCTGAAGGACGGGTCACGGGTCTGACGGCGGGAGCAGAGTAAGGTCGTCGGAGGATCGCCGGCTCGGGAAGGAGGAGAGGAGCCGCCGGCTCGGGAAGGAGGACTGGAGGAGATCTGCGGTTTTCTCTTTCTTTTTTTTTTTTGAGCGGAACAGAGGCGGAAATTGGGAATGAGTGCTGATGGAAATAAAGGGTTGAGTTCTTTTACAAATACAACCCCTAACCATTTTTGCATAAAGGCCCTCTTACAAAGTCTATTTCAAAAATCAAAGATAATTACAGTTTGAGGGGTGAAGGAGCAGTCGGAATGGGTTGCCCCCCGGCCCTGGGTTGCCCCAGCCCCGGGGCTTGGTGGGCTTACCCCAGGGCCGGCCCGCCGTCTGGCGATCCGACCGTAGATTACCGTCTGATAGGCGTTTTACGGTTTTCTGTCGGTTTATCCGATTCGACCGCGACTGGTTCACGGTCCGAACCGCGGTCGAGCTGGTAGTTTCCTATCTGTTTTTGAATTCTCGTTGTGACCTGGGATTCTATAAATAATATATATACTAATATAATCTAATATAATAAATATATATAATATATATATAATATATAATATATATATATAATATATATATATATGTTTTCTAAGGCTAATGAGAACGTGAGAAAAACCACCGGAAAGAGAAAAAAAGAGTGAGAATCTCAAAGAGATTAATCCCTTGTTTGAGTGTTTGTATTCTTTCTTTAATTAATCAAAAAGATTGTGTGGTGTGGCTCCCGAAGACGTAGGCACGTTGTCGAACATCGTTAAATTCGTGTGTTCTCTATTATTCTTATTTTTGTAGGTTTTTATCTTTGTGTCACGCCCTGTTTCCCAAAATACCAGGGAATCGGGACGCGAGCAAGCCCGCGACGTATTAGATTGAGAAGAAATATACTCTACTTTTTTTTTCTTTTCTTTCCTTCTCAATCCAATACGCTAAGCGTCTGGAAATAAATACAATGCGAAGTCACAGGTCCCCGATCTCACATAGCAAGAATATAAAGACAACCCAGAATAAAAATAGACATATCATCAATGGTAAATCATCCCAGACATAAAATACGGGTCAAACATACCCTTATACAAATATAAACAAATGAATACTGAAAAGATACAAAATACACTGATCAAATAGAAATGGAAGGTAGTACAAAAGAAAACGGATGACCAATAACTAAGCTTCAGCTTCTTCGGCTCCGTCTGCAGGGTACTCCTGCTGAGAATCCTCTGGCTCCTAATGATCTCCCGGCTGAACCTGTTCTTCATCTAAGTCTGACGTACACCAGAGAAAACAGGTATACGTCAGGTGCATGGCGCACGACAAGACCCGACCCCACAAAGAAAATAGAACGAACAGAAATCCAATGTGAAAAACGATACGATAACAGAAACAACAAAAGAACGTACAATTGAAACCCACAAATCAACATGAAAACACTACTAATTTATGATAACAATAAGCATCCAGAATCGATCAGGTAACGAATCATGCAGCTAGCGATCAGTCTAATCATCCAAATCACAAGGGCATACACTAGATGGAATTAATACTTAAAAATCTACAACAAGAGACGTAGTACGTCGAGCGAAATAATCCAAACAAGGAAACCCTCATGTATATACCATATGTCTCAAATTGTAGATAATTAATTATTAATCCTGATCTATGTATGAAAAGAAACACAACTAGCCTATATCTCAGAAGAACTCATAATTAGCCAACAAACGAGTCATGCAACTAGCCATCCTATACAGGTCACTGGTTCACATCTCACACAGAGTCAAAGTTTACATTATCGGATATCTGGTTAACCACATCTCACTAGTACCTCAGACCCGCCCCAGTGCGAAACGATTCACTGGTGCGTTCCTGGAAATAATCAATAATCACAATACCACTACTCCTCAGACCCACCCCAGGCCGAAACAAGACACTGGCGCGAGCCTGGAAAACAATCAATAATCTCGATAACACCGCACACCTCAGACCCACCCCAGGCCGAAACAAGACGCTGGCGCGAGCCTGGAAAATACATCAACAATCTCATATCACGATACCTCAGACCCACCCCAGGCCGAAACAAGGCGCTGGCGCGAGCCTGGAAAATAACTACAATCACAATATCACAACTCCTCGGACCCACCCCGGTGACTACACAAACTTTACCAGCGCGAGCCCGGAATATACATCAACAATCCCAACCACTCACATGGACCAAGACTTCTCATCCTAATTCTCGTAATTCTAGGTCAACTACACACGGTGTTCTAGATCCTAACTGTGTCATACGGGTCACTATAGTCATAAACTCCTAATGATTCTCAATCACAACATGGAGAAATCAATCAATGCAACTAATCATGTGTAATAATATCATAATATTTCAAATAATCAAAATAAGAATTTAAATCATAAATAGCAGCTACATAATCAAAAAATAATCTTTTTCTAAATTTAATTCACTTTAAATTATTTCGCTTAACAATTAATCTAAAATGATTCTTTTGCCGAACTAAATTCTTTTAATTCCTTATAATTATTCTGAAAATGTCAAATGTCATTTATCACATATCCATTATGTAAATCAATATTGTTCCCCAAACAACCCACGCAGATAAATACGACACAATTAAACTATGCAAATAATTCATAAATATTGTTCCCCAAACAACCCACGCAGATAAATACGACACAATTAAACTATGCAAATAATTCATAAAATATAAATAATCAAACTGCGAAACAGGAGAGCGGAATCTTGCACATAAATAATCTACAATAAATATAAGAACCGGAATGAAACTAAACAAGGATCGGGATCTTGCCTCGGGGTTTTGTCGAACAAATCGACGCTAACGGTGCGGATCGGGTCTGACTCGGTGGGGCATGACGTGGGAAGAACTCTGGTGAGGGGGCAGCGGGTCAGGACTGACGGCGGTGATGAGGAATCTCGACGGGGATGAGAGAGGGGCTGTCGGATCCGGAGATGAGCGGGGCGGCGACTCGAGCGGGTTGAGGCTTAAGTTCGATGGCGCGGACCTGGTCGGGGGTGACGACGGCTGTGGAGGTCGCTGCTGGTGGCGACGGCGAACGCGGCTACTATTGGGTTCAGAACTCGAGAAATGGAGGAGGAGGCGCGTGAACATAGGGAGAGGCGAAGTGGGGGCTGTCCGGGGTTTCGACGAGGGCGGGGTTCAGGACAGCGAGCGGCAGCATAAGCCCAAGCAAGCGGCGGCGTCCGGCAAGATGGTCCGGGCCGAGGCGGCCAAGAAGCGGAGGCGTTTTGGGGGTTGGGTTCTGGGAGAGGCCCGGCCCGGCCGAGCTTAGAGAGCGGATGGCCAGCACGAGAAAAGAAGCGGCGGTCCCGCGAGGCACGTGGGTCCTGCAGGCCCGTGGGTTTGTCGAAGCCTTTGTGAAGGTGGTTGGGTCGGAGTTGCGTGAGAGAGGAAAACAGAAGGCGGGGCGGGCGGTCTTGGGTTTAGGGAAGAAGAAAGAGTAAGAGAGGCGGCGCGCTTTTCGTTTGACAAGGAGTAATGAAAACGAAAATACAAGTATATATATATAATATATATATATATATATATATTAGTATATATTTATATATATATATATATATATTATAGGTTTTGGTTTAGGTTTTTTGAAATTAATTAAAAATAATAATTAGGGTATTTAAAAATTAAACTAAATACGAAATAATTATCTATACAATAACAACGTACATGTTGAGCTATTACAATAGTTAATACGAAATAGTCGAAATATACCCATATTGTATAATTAAACAAGAATAATTAATAATAAAAATATTTTTTACTTAAATTTAAAATCAAATAATTATGGGATAATTATATACATAGTAAAACGTACTAGTTATACTAATACGATAGATAATATGTAACAATAGAATAATTCAACAAATTATACCAAAAACACGTAATTAATAATACCATGTATTATATGAAATAATTTATAATAATATTAATAATACAATATATTATTTAAAATAATACGGATAGTACCGATAACACAACAAATTAATTCTAGAAATTTTTACAGTACAAAATAAATTTATAAATATCAAAATCATTTAAATAATTATATAATTAGATTTTTAAATCATAGAAATTATAGGAAATCGAAAAAATAAAATACACTTTTAAAAATCATAATTAAATATTTTAAAATACCAGAAAAGTATTTTAACTAGTATCGAAAATTCATGGTCCTTACACTTTGATTTGTGGTGAATTTCTTTCTCGCTCAACTTTCTAACACGGTACGGAAGGGCAAGTGTTCGATTTGATTGTTTCGAACCCCTAACACATATAATAAACTTCCTCCAACAGTGAAAAGCCCTACAACCCTGCCTCTTACGTTACTCCAAAAAAGTCATAGCACCACAGTTCGAGATTTCGGATTTCGCCCTCAATTCACGAATTAATTCTCACTATGATTCTTTATATGGGGTTTCGGAGTTTCGCTCTCAAATTGGGCTTACGGTATAGAAATTCCACTTGGATTTGGGTTGAGGTGATGTCTCCTAAAATCTAGTTCTTTTACTTTTGGTTAGGGTGAATTTTTTAAAATTGCTTGGCAATAGCAAACCCTAGTCTTCTTCTCTTTACTCATACCATAGCTCAAAGCAGCACTTGAAACCAAGAGCTTGATTTCATGATTCCTACAAATAAGTTTAGGATGGAAGATTGTGAACTTATGGATTAGGATTGAGATTTAATGAGAGAAGATTTAAATAGAGGAGTTGGTAGGGATTAGTAAATAAACCAATAAATGAGGATGGGAGTAACTTAATTTTGTAATCTGATAGTCGGGGTACTTTTTGAAATATTTCCCCGTATATAAATAACAGAAGGTACAAACTTGACTAACGGCGGACAAACTTGTGGTATCTACTCCTCTATACAAATGAGATAACCTAAAATTCATTATTCATGTTATAGTAAATACTATAGTAACATTTTAAAAAAAATCATTGTGGCACAAGGGAATATTGTAGCATTTTAAAAATTTGCAGCAAAGGCAAACTGTAGCAACCCAACAATTTTAAAAATATTACTGCAGCATTTAAAAAAACGAGATTACTGTAACAAAAATTAAAAAAAAAGTCATGATGCTCTGCACGAT